CTCCGCGGATGAATCTTATTCCTGCTGCGAATTTTCGAAAAATTTGCTGGTGAAATTTTTGGACGCGAAAGTTCTGGTTGGGATGTGAAGTAGGCACTTCGAGCATATATGAAACAACTAAAAACTTATTTTGCTCAATTTTAAATTTGTCAATAAATTTTTCCGGGACTTGATAGACTTGAAAAAAGGCCGGACATACTTGCGACAATTTTGCAGCTAAATTTTACAACCACGTATATATATAAGTGAGTAAGCCTAAAATTTCTGTGTAGGATTTTCATGTTCCAAATCTACGAACTTATCCAACAACGTAGTGTTTTGCGACTGTAATTAAAGGTCAAAGTTGGCTTTTTCGAATATCCGTGGAGGTACTGCGTTTAAATTATATATGAATGGAAATATAAAATATATATGAATGCAATATATGAATGTTAGCTATTGTCTCCACAATCGTCGAACATCGGGAAGTGCGGGAAATAGGTGTCCTTGCAAAAAGGAATTTTTTTTTGTCATTTTCTGATCACCCTGATCCCATCTTTAGACCATTAAGTGGCATTTTAGAAAGTGAAACTTAGTCATTTTGTCTCCATGTGATTGCGGCACAGCTTGTTCTTGCTATTAGATAGTTCTCCTGTTGCCATGTATGGTCAAATCGGTAGACATTTCACGCTTTCATGAGCCATTGCCTTGATCATACTTAGCGTTTCTCAAAAGAAACAGAAAAAATACCACAGAATAGATGTTTCCATTATTTACACAACATCCAAACATATCTGCATAAAACCTGCTGTAGTCCAATGGAACTATTCTCCACACCTGTTTCTCAGTGAGATTGACGAGCTCTTTCAGAAGTGCATGTGCTACTTTAGAGTCAATAATCAAGAATATGAGAGCATGAAAGTTCAAGTATGCAAACATATGAAGCAATTCTAGGAATTACTTTAAGGTTGTAGAGAAAGCCAACGGGCGCAGAATTAGAATAGTAAAAGGTGTTGATGTAGAGCTGTAGAAAACCTGATTTTTTTCGTCCACCTTCAAGATAACTTAAGCATATTTAGCTAGACAGATACAGCAAGGTAGATA